CTTTCTCGAATCAGTGATCGTCAGCACCTGCTTTTTCATAAACTAATGATACCGTCTTACTTTGAGGATATTTCCTGTAAAGCATAGTTGGAAGCTGTATAGCTTCATAATGCTTCAGAAAGGCGGATATTGACGCCGAGGACACTGCTCCTTTCAGGACAGTGATATTTGTATTAGTTCTTACAGTTCGATCTTTCCATATGCCATAAAGCTTGCCTAAATTCCCATGTTCACTTCAGCATCAACACTGATATCATTAGCCAACAGAGTTTCAAAGTGGTTCACCTGATCCGTCTTTATACCATTCCACAATATCTCTGGGCTGCTGATCGTGCAGGTACTCTCATAATCTTCGTCTTTCTGGCGTTCTCTTCTAGCGCCACTCTCATAGCGAAGTTACAGTAACTGTAAGTAGGCAAGTTGCGAAGTCAATCAGGAGCACAACGTCATCGGAACTCTCAAGGTCTGTTGGAAATGCCTACGGGTATCTTGAGCTGCGTAGCTAAATAACAGCCAGACCCCCTCTGCCAATGGAGAAAAGGCATATCCGCCTAACGTAGTCCGCCGTGATGTAGAAGAACAAAGGAGACTGGACTTCAGAAACTCGACGGCAATGTTGAACCAGTTGTAATTTTGATCCTTTAGTTTAAAAGGAGAATCCAGTCCTCTGATACAAACCTCCTATTGGGTTTACTGCCGCATGTGGAATTTCGTACTGAATTCTGTATTAACACACCACCCTGACCGGCGATGGACAGAATCGAAGGCTGCTCGGAGTGCTAAACGTTGTGTGCGAAAGAAACTGGAAGCTCTGGCAATGCTGAATGATCAAAGCATCGAGGCGCATGTCTGGGCAACGTAAGGCGAAATGTTAATGCCAATGTGGGTAAGGTAGGAACAAAGTTCTGTTAAATTACGAACCATGAAATGGCCGACTAACCAAGTCATGGTAATCGGCTTATGCCCTCACAGTCGTGAGAAACGACGCTCTAGTTTACTCTAGAACTCGGCAGAAACGATGCGGGTGGATCGTTGCATTTACGCTCGAAAAATTTTCATCGTCAGAGTATATGAAGGTTCACTCTTCATATATACAACATTGAAGTTGCCATTCATTATTCTTCACACTGTGTCCATCTTGTAAAAAGAAGCAAAACAGTATTCTGCTAAGGACAACCCTAATAAGAACAATATTCCTGCAAAAGAAATTCAAGTAATATTTTTAAAAGTGCACAAATAATCGAGATCATTTCATTATACATCTACTCTCAATACAGAATAATTGCCAATGAGTGAAAAAAACAGTTGAAAGAACCAAAACCAGATGGAGTACTTGACAGCTGATATCAAAAAACAGGAAAAAGTACATTGCGCATTCTAAGATGGTTCTGATCTGAAGATTCCGGCGAAACATAGTTATGAAATTCATAGTTGTGTCACTCTGGTCGATCACAGAATAAGGTGAATGCCTCCTTCAAGCATCGAAACACGCACAGGCACTCCGCGTGCATAGCTTACGCACGAAGTCGATTTTATAATCGACTCGTCTAACTTACGAGGTTTGGTAATAAATGTTCTCGTTTAGAGAGGCGTGGCTGTCAACCATCATAAGATACTGTTGACATTCTGTTGTAAATAGTGGGATACCACTGAACAGCTGGCAGAAAAAGCAACCAAGGAATTAATAATTAACTTTGGTAACTGCCATAAAGCCAAAGTTCATTGTAAACTTATTGAAAAATGTCTAAAATTTTAATCACATAATCATTTAAACAGTGAACATTACAGCTTTAATGGGTAGAGCCTTGAAATTCTGTAGTAATAAATTTCGTCAAATCAGCCCCATGCAATAACAATAATTATTTAGGAATTCGTTTTAAACATCATAAACCGTAAAATAAGCCAGTTTAAATCAATTTCTAACAATAACAAGACTAATAATGAACCTTAATTAATTCTATCATAAAAACTTTAAAGAAATGATGCAAAGCTTACTTAATACCTAGCATAATATTAATATCATATATAAAATCTCTAATAAACTGAATGCGTTAATAAATAATTCTGAGAATAATGATTATCTATGCTGGGTTTACAGATTAAAATTAAAGTGCGGAAAATATTACACAGAAGAAACAAGGAACACCGTCACAAAGAGAATAAAGAACCACCTGTCCAGCTGGATAATCGCAGACGGGAGTGTAAGCCAGGTGATAACGAAGCACTGATGAAAAAACAAAGCCTGGCTTCTAGTAAAATCAAGGAACAACACGAGAAGACCTCTGGGACCGTGTATGCAAAGTATGCGGCAAAGCAAGGACAGTCCCCTTGACGGTCTGAGGGTCACGGACTAATCAGACATTGGCTACACAAACAAATAAAGGAGGCAGTAATCATTTAATCCTGCGGAAACATCGATCTTGACAAAGGATACGAGCTTTGCACAGATTGGATGAACCTTATTGCCCATGTAGGCCAGAAATTACTTAACCAGCAGCAAGAACCGAAAACTTATCTCCTGGATCCGAAACTATGGACTACTGCAGACGACCAACCACAATGACGAAATTTCACAACCACACTACCTTGAAGGCCTGAAACGTCGGCAATCTTCAGTCAACGGACTGACTGCAGTACAGTTTTTAATGTTCTTAAATCTTTCTTCTACAAATACAGTAGTTTTTGCAGTATGTTAATTCATCTGATGAGTCAAGAATCTAATTAAATTTCATTAAACTAAGCTATCATTATATAACCGAGGGAGCGTAAATTCAGGAAGCTTAACGACTGGAAGAACATCGAAATTTTAATCGCATTAAAATGAGCTTTAGCATGCAAAAAAACAACGCAAAAAGTCATACAAGCACGAATGTACAGTCTCAATTGAGAGGGTATTAAACAATTCACTGGAGAGGGTTGAGTCCTAGTCTCGCTCTGACTTCGTTCGCTTCGCGAATTTCACGATCTCCAGAAGAATCCTGATCTTTCTTACGATCAGACTTTTCACGTCGCTTTTCTTTCTTACTGAATCGATCTAAAAGTAATCTTCAAAAATAAACGGAAACCACAAAGTCGCAAATGAAAAGCAAATTTACATTTCCGGATTATCCAGGCTCATAACTGCAGCAGAAGAACAATTAGTGGTATGAAAAAACGTCACCAAAAAAATAGAAATGACTGGATATGTCTTAGTGAACCCATCTTATCTATTTGCAATTTCCTCTTTGCGCTCGATGCTCCAAAGAACCTTCAATTTTGAATGATTTAAATATCGACTCTAAAATTGTATTTTGCCTATATACTGTGATAATCTACGTTTTCAATTCGTTCTTAGTGATAACAATAACAAACGCTATCTGCCATTCAGAAAACTTACTGAATGTTGACAATATTCTTGTGCCGTATTACCCGCTTCTTGGCCACCTAAGTACTGTGGATGAAACTCTAGCCTTTCCATTTCCCGGAATTATCCAGCTTACGATGTCTAAATTTTCTTTAAGATTAGATAATGATCCGAAAACCTATTATCAGAGGTTGGACGGTATGATGAAAAAATCTCCTAGTATCTGGTTTCGAAAATAACAAAAACGATGGCCTTCATTCGACTCATTTAGGCAGTTAATCAGAGAACTTTACGTCGGGTACATTTAATTCTAAAACTCAAAAAAGTCTATGAAAACTGTTTTGTTAATTGCTGACCATTTTCAGTTCAATCAGTAAAATGCACCTAAGTGAATCCTAAGACACTTGATAAGTTGCCCAAAACTGGAAATAAAAAATGAACAAATACAAAACAATAAACAAGCACTGTGAAAGTGGATCCATATCAGGAAAACCAGTCTTCCGAGATGATTAAGGCAGTAACAAACGAACTCTTCTAAACCGAGGATGTTCTTACAGTCGATATGACGTAGCAAAGTTTCTTGAAGAGAATGAAGCAAGTGTTGCTAAAACGTGACATAGAGAGAAGCACTTTAAGCTCATGTATCTTCAAAATGATAGACCTACAACGGTTGGAGATTATCACTAGAAAATGCAGGCTATTGGTGAACTTTCAATCCGCAGCATTTTTCCATCTGTGCCACGTCTGGTGTACCGAATACTTTCACAATTTGAAACAGAAAGAACCAAGAGCATCAAGAAATTCAGGGGTAGACACGTGCTACAACTGAATGAGCACGACGTTAACACTCATGAGAGCATCAATATCATCAGGGACAGATGGCTGAGTTTTTTTACGGGAGACTTTATCAGTCTCCTCTTGAGAGATTTTACAGTTAAAAAAGGTATATTTTGATGTTCATGCAACTGCTAATTTACTAAGGTACTGACGCTACATTAACGAGTATCTACAGCACTTAAATTAATTTTTTCCCGCTAATGGATATTTACATTCGATAATGATGGATCGTTACAATACTGAAAGCATCTGAAAAAATGCAGAGGCTGCTGGCCTCGCTATCTTAAATCTACGGTGGGCTATAAAGATGAGATGAATGGGTGTTTGCAAATAATTGCAGCTCCACCAAAGCATGGTAAAAAGTGCTGGGAAAGAACCTGGAGATTTTCTTCTTTCTCTAGATTTTGATCTTCGTCTTCGATCCCGTTCGTGATCCTTGTCCTTTCCGTAACTAGGGCTGTGACTGCGCCGCCTAAACGTCAAACTAGTAATCAGTACAGGAAACAAGATAACTACAAATTTACCTGCGAGGCACAGGCGATTTTCGCCGTTCGACCTGCTTTTTACTGCTTCTGTCCCGAGTACCATAATTCTGCAACTATAAACAGTCACTTTGATAACGGAATAGTAGCAAAATACCTTTTCGGCCTCTTCTTCTGAAGATGAAGAGATGTTTTCCAAATCTTCTTCAAGAGCGCTCACTCGCGGTTCTAGAAGACCAGCTTCTTCGAGCAATTCTCGCTTCTATAAATTTCAAATGTAGATTCAAATGAAAAACGACCAAGGAAAGCGCTTGGCAACTAATACATGCTCATTTCATGTCACAACGTCATGTGAAAATAGATGAATATCCTAGCATAGAACCACTAAAATCAGTAACCTGATATACATGTCAGGACATCAGGTTATTGCTTCTCTTTACAGGTTATATCTTGTGCTAGATATTAACATACTATCACGCTGCAACAAGGCAAACTGCAGATGCAAAGTCTGAATAGCGAGAAACCGTTCAAAACTTAAGGCGGTGAACCATCTGTCCATAGTTTAAATACTTTATATATTGCTTTATTTATTTAAACTATTATATGCTTGCACTCCACTAATCTCTTGATAGAGAAATAGGCAAGGACAGAAAACAAGTGATCTCAAGGCAGAGCAAAGTGTGACAGATTCAGTAAAGACGATATCGATCACGGCCAATCGTTGGTTGTCGAGGAGCAAAAAACTGAAGCATAACATAACTTCTACCTTAAAGGCAAATTTACCTTGAAGAAAAAGATTGACTACAAACGTCACTTGACGGACTGGGAATGGGCCATTAACTGCATAAAAAAGCCAGTTGTTTAAAAGCATTAAAATTTTGTGTGCCTACAACTACGCAGCTTATTTATACTTCATCCTTTTCAAAAATCTATACACGACGAAGAATAAAAAATACGGACGTACCTGCAACCTTGGAAGCTGAATGTCGCATATAGATTCGTCTCTCAAAAGTTTATCGATTAGTTCATCCATGTGTACAATTTCGAAAGCTAAATTTTATGAATGAATATGTAGAAAACTGACACAATGACATTAAGTCGCTTACGGTTAATTACAGCCTAAAGGAACGCAAATTATGAGCCGATATTTAAACAATTCCTATGATAGGACAACAGTTCCTATGATATTATCAGAATGCACAAAGCGCAAGGAGCAAAACCTTAAGAATGCTCAAAATAGAACCTGTCAAGGCGATCTATGACATTCATGAAGTTGAAGAAAAATCTGACATGATCATAAAGGAGGAGATATACCGCCAAGACACCAATCTCCTGAGCAGTTGCACCATTGAAATGCCTGAAGAGTAATATACAGATTGAAAACACCCAGTGGAAGCAGATCACATAAACACAAAAACAGAACCTTAACTCAGCGAATATTGCCAGATATAAAGAGAATTTTCAAATGCATGTGACATTACCAAATGGGCAAATACACTGTTCATGCACTTTATTAGAAATATATCAGTATGAGTACAAGTATGATTTTTCTCTCGCATAAGGACCTCGCATTGACCACAAAACGTAGAAACACCTCATTGAGGTAGACCTGCTGGCGACGCGGCAACGAACTGAACCTTTGTCACAGCACTGAACTTTTTTAGTGTCAATCTCTAAGGTACCCTGTCTAACGGTCAGACATAATAAGTGTGGGTTACACTACTATTTAAATTCTATTAACTTCAGATGACAATGATAACACAATAAAACGATCAAGATTATGCTGATGAGAAAGATACACACTGCCACCATTTTCATTGAGCTTTTGATCAGATGCTCATCCCATCAATCGCAATGCAACCAACCACGAGCGTCTTATTTTTTTACAAAACATATAAATAGTTCGCAAGCACAGCCAGCAGTTTCCAGCATTCGTTCTACATACGCTGTTGCCATTTATACATTTTGGAAGGCGGAATGCCTAGAAACTCAGGTAAGACAGAAATCTGAGCGATTAATTCGGTATTTGAGGGTCAACACTAAATTATTTTACTATTTTCAGCACCGGAAGAGGTTACCACAGTGACTTTTTCCGTTCCCATTTGTATTCGACGGAAAACTATAATTTATGGCAATCTATATCCATGGCTGCACGTCATTCTTATGCCGAAAGAAACGAACTACTGGAATAAGCTCTGCTAAAAAGTATTTCTCCATTCTGTTCGGTCACCGTACCACTCTGAAGTATTTCAAAAATGTCTCTGAAGTTGGCTTCATACGTGGAGCAGAGAAGGTTGAGAAACGTTTCTGGGACAACGGATAATTAACATGATTTAGAAAATGAGAGATAATTAAATGCAAAACCAGAGTTCCCATCTTTACATACTTCCATTTTTATTCATCCATCGCAGCTTACGATAATCGTTGAACAGTGGCTCGAGATATTTGTAAACTTCTACATATGAAGCCGTAAGTCTCATATACAAGGCTCCCAGTGCCCGTATGTACCTAAAAAACAATTAAATTATTTAGAATTCTATAATCGGCATTACTTTGAATCTTCTTGACGGATAAATTCAATCACAATGTCCTTATCGGGCTGAATCTGCAACATTTTCAGGACTAAACACAGGAAAGGTGTAGGTTTTGTGTTACCGCCGTAAACTCCACCGACGAATCGCAATTCCATCCCTTTGTCCACGATTAACTCCGCTGAAATGAAATCAAAATGCAAAACATTATCAATTTAAAAACTTTGTACCAGAAAGAGCAAAACATTCTTCCTTCCAATAT